GCAAGGAAGCAAATGGGGAAACAATAAGTGGAACTGGGTAATAACAATCAAATGTTCTGAATTATAATGGCAAACCAATAAGAGAAAGGCATAAGCCAGCGTTAAGTAATTTTTCATTTGTCTATTTACCTAAAGAAATGTATATGGCCCTACCCATCTTTTTGCCTGCAGTATACAGGCAGTCTTCTAATTTCGATGGCAGTTAGGCCTTGAATTTCCTTTGCTAAGCAATGCTGTTGTAAAGCACTGCAACATGTGACTGCATCATATAGCAGTGGCGATTCTCTGTGGCTCCCATTGCTGTTGCCAAACGAGCACCTGCTTACAACTATCTTCTGGCTTCCAACGACCAAAGCAGCCACATGGGAGAGAGAGGGAGCGCCTGGTGGTGCAGATGGCTAGGGAGGCATGGTGTAAGCATAGTGGTGGCTGCTGCCTAGTGGGAGAGGGTGTGAGAGTGGATGGGGAATCGTGGCAACTTGTGACCTTCCCTATCAACTTCCCTATTGACTTTGCTTCTGGGAAGCCAGCAATTGCAATCATGTTACACTGCCAAACTCTGCAACTGTTGTAAGTGCAAACCAGTTGCCCACCTTGTGATGGTGTGACAGTGGACACTGAACTTTGAGGAGCACCATTCACTTAGTGCCATATTTGAATGATTGCTGACTGGTTGTTATTCAAGAACTATTTGTAACAGCTTTCTCCTTGCCAGTAGATAACATCACCGTCTAGAAAGTTCTGCTTCATTTTCAATTATTTTAAATGATTCAAGTATTCTAAAACGGTAAACAAGCGATGTTGTATCTCATCAAATTAATGTATTTTTGATTCTCTATAGGATGGCTGGTTGTGGTGAACTCGATCACTCAATCAATATGCTTCCAACGAACAAAAAGGCAAATGAATCATGTTCAAATGCAACACCATCTCTTATGGTTCCTGAATGTGCTATCTGCCTGCAAACATGTGTCCACCCTGTGAGTCTGCCCTGCAAACACGTCTTCTGCTATCTCTGTGTAAAAGGAGCTTCCTGGTTGGGAAAGCGGTGTGCCCTCTGTCGGCAGGAGATTCCAGAGGACTTTCTTGATAAACCAACTTTGCTATCGCCTGAGGAACTCAAAGCAGCCAGTAGAGGCAATGGGGAATATGCTTGGTATTATGAAGGCAGAAATGGCTGGTGGCAATATGACGAACGTACCAGTAGGGAGTTGGAAGATGCATTTTCTAAAGGTAAAAAGAGCACTGAAATGTTAATTGCTGGTTTCTTATATGTGGCAGATCTTGAGAACATGGTTCAGTATAGGAGAAATGAGCATGGACGTCGCAGGAAAATCAAACGGGACATAATAGATATTCCAAAGAAGGGAGTGGCTGGGCTTAGGTTGGACTGTGACTCTACTGCTATCAATCTAGCAAGAGAGAGCTCTGCAGATGGTGCAGACAGTATACCACCACTAGGTGCTGCTGCTGCTGGGCAGCCTCCAGCAACTGTTAGACCCCTTCCTACACTAGATGGTCAGCTGACAAGTCCTGCAACACCATCACCTGAGGAAAGCACTCTAGAGAACTCTTTTGCCAACTTGCAAATCAATGGAGACAGTTTGGTTGAAAGGAGCCATAGGGGTGAGGGAGAGGAAGACCATGAATCACTATCTTCTGGTAGGATGCGAGTTATTGACACCTCCGTTGAGGAAACAGAATCAGATGCTAGCAGTGATAGTGAGGATTTGTCTGCCCAATTTCAGCTGCCTGTACCCTCTGCTCAGCAGAGACATCTGAATGGAAATCAGCCAGCCTTGGATAGAGCAATGGCAAGTAGTGGGGTGGGGAATACCACTGTGAGATCGAGAAGGCCTGATGGACAGTGCACAATAACAGAAGTCTAAATCTAGAGCCATGGTTTTAAAATTCAGTCTTATACCTGTACATTTTGTCTGTATTGACATTGCGCTCCAGCCTAGCAGTCTTATTTTAAAGTGTTTCCGTATGAGAATGAAGGGAAGAAAGGAAACCTGATCATCTAACATTAAAATCTGTCTCTTAATTTGTCTGGAACACTGAACATTTAAAAATCTGGGCATGTGTTAATGGTTTGAAAGCTGTTTAGCAACACTCAGTTTTTGTAAAATGTCTGCTTTTATTTTGTAGTATATGCCCATCTCCATATTAAAACCCATTCTCCTTTTTTGACAAATGTATATTCACTGTACAACTTGGAACTGTTATTATTTGTTGCATTAAGTATCTTAAGTAACTACCTGCATGGATAGATGTATGGAAGGAATATTAAAAACTGGAAATGATCAAGAGTTTGGAAATGTGCAAGATGCTTAATTTTAACATAAAATAGTTGTGACTCCTGAAATTCAGATGTTTTACTAAAGCTGAAAGATGAATCATTCTGAATGAAATGTAAAATAATTTATGTTGCAGAGTTTTACTTGTAAAGAAGTCATGGTGTCTTCATTGGCTCTGTCTAGTCCCTGTAGCTTGTTTGCGTCTTTCTTGTGTCGTTTTTGTTATAAGATTTATAATTTAATAAACTACATTTTATCAACAATCTTAATTCCATATCACACTAAAGACATGTCTGGAAAGAGGTACATGCACTGCCTTTGTTTGCTTAACAGAAGAACAAAATGCACTGCAGAACAAGATGACTGGAAGAAACGTTGAGTAGAAAAATACAGTTGCTTGCACAATAGGCTCCTATGGAAAGATGCTTACAAGAGTTAATAGTTAAGATAATAGAAAAGGCACTATCACATTTGCTTCTACTTTCTCTATAACAGGATGTTAGCAAATTATTTTTACATTGAAATTATTAAAATTTTGTTTTCACTTATTGTGTTATTTAAATTATGCTTTGCTAGGAATGGCTTTACATCATTTACAAGAGAACCAGTTTGGTCTAGTGGTTAAGACACCAGGCTAGAAACTGGAAAACTTATGTGTTATAGTCCTGCTTTAGGTATGGCTAGTAACTTTGGGATAGTCACATTGTCTCAGCCCAGCCAACTTCTCTGGGTTGTTGATATTTTCAAGAAAATAGAAGGAGGAAGTATTAGGTATGTTCACTGCCTTGAATTATTTATAAAAATAAAAAAGGCAAGCTAAAAATAAATTTAAAACCCTGTAATACTTTAGCACCATAATTAAATGAATTTTAAAGTAATGTAATTGAGAAGTCCTAGCATGCAATGGGCCACCTGTTTATAGCTTAATCTCAAAGTAGTTGTAGTTGCTTTACGGAGATATACTGCAATATATATAAAAATATGTACTTTGTATTAAGAGCCCATCAAATGAACAAACTATTCCTAATAACTGAAAATAATTGTGTCTGAGTCACCATTTGACACACTACGTATATTTCTATATGAAATTTTTGTTTAAGATGGCACTCTGGTAAATATTTAATTCAGGAATCAAATTTCCAATACATGTAGATAACAGAAAAATATAAAATTATTCAGATAATAGAATAAGTCCATAGTAGAGTAGCAGTTCCCGAGTTCCACCCATTACTTACAGCAATAGCAGTAAATCAGAATTTAGTGACTATTCTGCAGATTTCTAAACACTAATCACCTACCCAAAAATATTTCCCTCACCAAACTTGCTCAGTTATTACATCTAATATAGTTGGTTAGTGCAAAACATTTGCATTAATAAGGAGATATACTCCAGCCTTCTCAGGGACATCGGGCCCAAAGAACACAATGTTTAGATTACAACATTTTAACTCCTAAGAGTTGAAAATATTGGACTGAGTCTACACCTTCCTTATTTTGTATCTTCTTCCAGGATGATGCAGAATTATCCATGAAGATCAAGCAGGACAAAGATATCCCCATAAAGATACCTTTTAACCCATATGTTAAGCAACATAGTCTCTCACACATTTCTATAAAAGCTAGTCTGGATTTCAGGCACAGTTAAGCAATTGTCACATACTGAGGGACATCAACCATAGCTCTTAAAACATTTAGCCGAGTTGCTTCTAAACATGTTAGAGCTTTGTAGATACAAGATTATATGCAATAGAGCAAGATGCTCAATACTTAAAAAAAACCTTAAAACAGTAGATACCTAGTTATTGCTTCTGTTATTAGCAAATCTAGTTTATATCAAATTGCACCAGTTCCTACTCTACCTGCCAATAACCAGGAAATCTGAGCAATGGAGTTATTTAAATAATTTATTTCTGCCCGTAGATCTCCTTTACAGAATTGAACATTTAAAGATTTTGAACAATTACACACTTCATATTCTTTTTTGTCACATTCACAAGAAACTTAAATTTTAATAAGTATTGTTTAATTAATATACAAATTTTAATAAGTATTAAATATTTGTATTATTTAATTAGTACACATGTGAAATAGTTTGAGACTAGAGACATAATGGACTCCAATTAAAAGTAGACATCCCAAATATGTATTTTACTGAAGTAAATATCTGACTCCTGCTTAACTGATTTTTAAAAATTCTTCCCATGTCTCATTTTCTATTAGTAAATTGTATCCTGCAAGTATGCAATTAAGAAATACATGCTCAAATCTGCTTACAAGATAGTACCAGGCCTTAATTTCAACACATTCAAGGCTACTGCAATAAACACAAGTCTGCAGATTTGAAGACATCGTTCCCAGCTGTAGATGTTCTCAAATTGCTCTAAGTCCTTAACTATATGTTCAACTTTAATTAGAATGGTGAACGATAGGACTTAGTCCTTTTTTTCCCAGTCCAGAGGGAAGGTTAGATGTTTATTTTGGTATCACATCTTGTGAACTGAACAAAATCCAGAGGCCTTGCCACTTTCTTCATGCTTCTGCCTGCAGCTGGGAAGAGCACCTTCCCTGATCTCAGAAAAAGTATAGAAATGAGGTACTTAATAAAGGCAAGTTCAGCAGTGAAGTCCTTTTCTTCACAAAAGCAGCTAACATGGTTTAACAGAGGTCTGTTAAGGCAGTCTAGATTGATGAATTCACCCACAGTTGTGTTGTATGCCATCTCAGCTAATGAGCAAAGATATTATTCCCTCATCTGGTTCCTAGATTGTTGAATGTACTAATATAGCTTAAGCTTATTCATCAAAATTAATTTTTAGTTATGCAGTTGTTTGGATTTGATTTCAGAATAGTCCTCCAGAAAATAAAGAACCCAACTTCTGCACTGTCCTGGGAAAATGAAGTTCTGTTGGAAAAATTTAAATTCAAGTGTTCTGTTTACTACTATGTATTCCAAAGCATTTTGGGAAGTGCAGCACAAATGTTGCATAACCTTGTTTACACTATGACTGGCTAGTGTAAGCTGAACATGCTATATGCAGAATGCACTGAGAACTACAGCAGATACTTTACTTCTAGCATGTTATGTCAAGTAAATGTGCATATGGACATCTGAAAAACACTGGTTCATCCAAGATGCTTCATACAAGTTAATTAGCACAGGTAAAGTCAATGGAATGTTATATTTAGATTGTTGGTACTATCTACTTGCTGCACAGACTTCAAGCCATTAAATAAATTTCACAGATGTGGCAACTGGTAGTACAAATATCAAAAATGTCAAATTTTGCCATACAGCTCAGGGAATATTTCTTCCTTATTTCAACTTTATAAATTCACAATGAAACGGGTGTCTCCAAGAGCTCTGTTCACAGAACAAGAATCTAGTAATCAGATGTGAAGCTTGAAGGCAGGAGCTTTGCTTATAGATAAGTACAGAAGGAACTACTTAACAATGCAAACAAAAAGCATTTGGCATTTTTCAGTTTCGATTCGGGGTTATGAGTCAATTCACAATGAGATAGTTTATTCAAAGGTATGATGTGTGCAAATCATAAATTATCTGTGATCATCTCAGGACTTTTGAGTTGAGGTTACTAATGTCAACTAAACCTGTCTTTAAAAAGGCAGCTTCTCAACACAAAATCTATATATACAAACCACATATAATGCCAGGGTTTAAAAATTCTGAGGAAAATTATTTTCTGAAGTCTTACAGTTCTTACATTATAAAAACATACCACTTTATGCACATTAATTTCCAAATGGGTTCATATTAGGTGGTACCATCAGTGTGGGGGTCTTTGTAGAAAGAAAAGAAGCAAGACCAGAAAATGAGAGTGTTGTTTAAAAAAAGCCTGGGGTTGCACCTCTAGTTAATTGTCAATGTGGTGCCAGTGGCATTCCAGGAGAGCTGTCCTAATAAGGCTAACACCTAGAGTTCATAATGTTTAGAAGGTTTCCCACCAGTCTTTGACAGCAGCTGTTTTAGTTGAAGAAAGTAAGATGAAAATTGTCTCATTTATGTTTTGTTCTCTGAGCCAATGCCTGCACATTAGCAGGACCACCCCAAACTGTTCCAAATACCTCTTTTTCTCTCCTCAAGGCAGCTTCTAATTGTAGCTCTCTCCCTGCTGAAACAACTTTCTTCACAGCCTGAATGACTTCAGCAGGGCCTGTGGTATATAGCTTAAGCCATGTGTGCATTTCTCTCAAAGACTCATGTTCATCTGATGAGGACAAGATGGAATCTACCAAACCAATATGAAGGGCATTCTGTGGATCCAGTTTCATAGCACCACTCAACAGCTTGAGGGCAGGGCTGCTGCCAAGGATTTGGGTAAGCCTGGCAGCTCCCCCCCAGCCTGGCACTAAGCCCATTTGCTTGTGGACAAACCTAATTTCACTCTCTGGAGTCATTAACCTGTCAATGGAGAAAAAAAAGATTATGTTTAAAGTGTTGCAATGATACAATTTTAGCTTCATTTCAACGCAATGCACAGTTCTGGATAAAAGTTGCTGACAATGAACACCTTTTAATACTAGACACATTAATCAAGTAACAAACAGTTGATTTGCTGCAATTTTGCCCTAAGTAATACAAAACAAAGAGATCATTTTTAAAATGCCCCATAATCCAGAATTTATAAATATTACTCTGTAGATCTAATGTTGACATTCTGGCTCACAAATTTGTAAATATCTTAAAGTTCATAGCATATCTAGCTTAAATATTTTCCTCCAGCTTTTACTTTTGGAAACATTTAAAAATGATAATTGCAGTGGGCAAACATGTATCACACTGTTAACAACAAAGGTGATAATTAAGTATTGGGGAAAATTACAATATTATCAAGCATCTCTTTTTCAAGTGAAAATTAAAAGATAAGCTGGAAATAACAGGAGCAAGCACACACAATACCCATCCAAAAGTTTTGACTGATCTTACAAGTCAGAAGTTGTGGTTGGCAGTGGAGCTGTGAAGACCTAAATGAAAAGCTACTCAAGTACTCTTGTCTTGACAATCCACTGCTGTTTTACTCCCAAAAATCGGTTCCTTTGAAGGCAAAGCCATCTTTGACATGTGGCCACCCAGACATCTTTTAATAGCTCCAGTAATGAATCCGTTATTCTAGACAGATCGTTCCATTGTTTACTAGTTTTTAATCACTATGAAAATCTTCCTAAAACTCAGTTTGAATATTTCTTTGCTTTTCAAACCACTGGTTGCTCTACTACAGACAATTTTGTCATCATTTTTTTTTGTCAGATACCTCTTTCATGGGACAACCTTTCATATACACTTATAGAGTACTATCACATCTCCCCTTTTCTCTTTTATGAATTTAGTAGCCTTTTCTGTATTGCTTGGTTTTCAAATCCTTTATCATTCTGGTAGCTCTCCTTTGAATTTATTATAACTACTTCATGTCCACTTTAAAATTATTGAAGATCTGACTTCTCTACTAAGCTTGGAGGCTGGCTGAAGATTAAATCCCTGCTTTGGAGGTGGGAATGGAGGTAATTGATTTTTATTTGTTATATTGAATTTGGGCTTCTCGTGGTCTTTTTTAAAACAACAACAACAATGTTTTCCATTGTAAATCACCTAGAATATAAAATAAACATATGAATGAATGAATGAATGAATGAATGAATGAATGAATGTAGTTCAAGGAAGTTATTACCTCCAATGAACTGGATGCAATGCTTCTGATAAAACCCCCAAATAAACTTTTTACTCACACTCTGCTGCTAGTCCACTAGTACTTTTTGTTCCTGCTTTCACACACTCTCTCACTAAGCCAGATTTTCCCAATCCCATATCTATGCATTTAAAATTAAAGGGATCATACATGTATCACAGCTAAACATCCTACCAGGTCAATTTGGCTCAGTGTTCAGATCTGTCAAAGTGATTTTGAATTGTGCTGTTGCCCTCTGACGCATTAGCTTGCCTCCCCCAAATGTCATCCGTAAATCTGATAAACATCCCTTCGATTGTATCAGGTAGATCATTTTTAAATATGTTGAATGACATTGGGCTGAATACAAAGCTCTGGAAAACTCAAGAGTCCTTTCCTTCAGGTAGATGCAGATCCATTTATGAATTCTTTTTGGATGCAGTTGTTTAAACAGTTTCAAATCCACCAGACTTAGTCCACATTTATCCAGTGACTCCACAAACGCTTCTTCTAATATTTGCTTTTTACCAAAACTCATGCACAGAGGCAGGCTGTGCTTTTTAACAATGGATTGTTTAGTATATGTATTTGTATACGTGTCATCACAGAATTTGGAGGAGCCGTATAGATCATCAAGTTGAGTACATACTTAATTCAGGAATCAGGATTAAAGCATTCCTGGCATATGGGTTTCTAGCCTGTGATTCTCCATTTGTGCTAAAGGAAGTCTATCTCTCTACTTTGCCTTGTGTAATTACACTTACACCGTGCATGTCTTTCCTAAATAAAATAGACTGGAGGCTTTAAATATAAATCTTGAGTTAATTGCAATTATGAGGATGATTCCTCTCTTCCTGCCTTTCCATATCCAAGAAATAGAGAACTTCTATGGCTCTTCTCATCACCTTGATCTCTGAGCTAAAGGAACAGCTGCAGGAAGACAAACAGAAATATCAACTCCACCCCATCTGCACAAATGGTGACTATAGTAGTGTCAAAATTAAATGGAAATCTATTATTTATTTGCTGAGGTTTTTTTTTTTTAAAGGAAATTGCACTAGACCAGAGGTGTCAAACTTGAATTCATTGAAGGCCTCATCGGGGTGATGTTTGATCTCGGGGTGGTGGTGGTAGTGTGGTGGGGGGACGTGGCCAGCTCGATGTCACTCGTGTGATCAAATGCCACATTTGCTAGTACTTTGTTTTGCTAGCACTCTGCCATCAAAAATGGACCTTGGGAGGGGCATGTGCAGCTTTTCTGGGCTCCATTTTCGGCTGTGACAGCCTCCTGCAGCCCTCTGCCAGTGAAAACGGAGCTTGGGAAGCCCCATTTTCGTAGGCAGAGGCCCCGTGGGCCAGTCCTTTGCTTTTTCCAGGGCGGCTCCACAGGCCAGATCTAAGCACCCCACTGGCCAGATCTGGCTGGCAGGCCTTGAATTTGACATCCCTGCATTAGATTTTAGAAAAAGAGTACAAACTTTCAATAGACAGATTGTAATTAATCTCTTTCTTCAAAAAGAAGTTGGCACTCTAAAATATCAATCCAATTCATCGTTGACTGCACTCAATAAAGCAAGGACAAGTCACTGTATTCAGCACTAAGCTAAAAGCCATGTTCTATTGAAAAAATATATCCAGAAAAGTATAGGAACACTAGGATCTCAAAATATCTCCAGATATAGCATCTGAAATCCAGCATAGATAGGGAAGATCCATAAAACCAAAGCACAACATAATACAATACGTGACGTGCGTAACGCACACATACAGGAATTGTAATATCACAACAGCAAATGTAATTTTTTGGTCTTGAATTAATTTTAAACTGACCCAGATAGTGATGTACACTGAAAAGAAGGCTAATGTTTCATGTAGTTAATAGAAAAAAGGTAGGGCATACAAAGCATTTAACTGAAAGAAATAAGTGATACTTCAGAGAGGAAACTGGATAGCTTGCAGTATTTGTAAGTAGGACAGGACAGGCAAACTTTGATAAGAGTAATAATGAATGGGGATATTAATCTACACCTTGGAAAGTAGTAGGAAATGGCTCATTGCAACTATAGTTAAGGCTCTGCTATTTATCCCACTTTGTGGAAATACACCGTCATTCTTCATTGTGCTTTTTAAAAAGGGGGCGGAAAAATACAACATACCATACAATCCTGAAGCTAATATCACACTGCAGAAGAAGATTAGCACAGTTCTTAGGAAGCTAATGACACTGCTATACAGTGTTGGAATAGAACCAAAGAGCTGAATAGGCATGGCAGTGTAAATATCTACTTCTGACAATAGCTACATGTCTCCACAGTTTGTATCTTCTCCAACATGTGCTTGGGATTGTGGAGTGGAGCAGTTTTATGGTGAAAAGGGAAAATAAGGGCATATGGGCCAGAAAAAAGTGAGGATACAAATTAAGGGATGGAAGGAGGCTACACAAGGGAGGAAAATATAAAAGTATGGGACCTAATTATCTGCTAAACAAATAATTCCCTCAACACTGTTCAACTATTTACAAAGTGTACAGTACTATTACTGTTAATCTTCTCACCACTCCTTATCACCCATCCCCTCCCACTTGACTGTTTCCTAGTATGATTTGATTGTTGATTGTACCCTATGACTATCATCAGGTGTTGTATGTTATGATTCTTGATTCTTAATGAATGTACCTTTTCTTTATGTATACTGAGAGTATTTACACCAAGACAAATTCCTTGTGTGTCTAATCACACTTGACCAATAAAGCATTCTATTCTATTCTATTCTATTCTATTCTATTCTATTCTATTCTATTCTATTCTATTCTATTCTATTCTATTCTATTCTATGTGAAATCCATCAGGAAAGAAGACAAGCCTGAGAATAGACAATTGTGGCATGATTTGACAAAAGAATCAGGCAGGACAAACACCTGCATCCTGTCACATTTACCATTCAAAGGCCTGGCCACGGACTTCCTGTCTGGTTTGTTCAGACCTCTTTCTTTCCTTTATGCAGGGGAGCTCAATGCATTTTATAATAATGATGGCTTATTTTAAAATAGTAGACAAAAATTAATATATGGAACCCTATTGACAAAAACAGACCACAAGCAGAAATGTATGCAAACTACCACATCAGGTAACAATGGCCTGAATAAGGTAATAGCTCTACATTTTTAAGGCCTCTAGTGATGGATTTTACATGGCCTTTAAAAAAGGAGAGCCACCAGTGAAAAATCTGTCTGTCTTTCTGTCTGCCTGCCTGCCTACTATTTATACTTACTTCTTTGCACTTACAGACTGTTGTAAGGCAAATGGTATCTCTATTAAATCAGTGAAAATTAGTCTCCTGCACCCCTTTCTCAGCCTCCTATAAACAAACAGTCAGGCCAGAAGAGGACAAGGAACCACTGGTATGCGGAGCATCACTTCTACGGTTGGCATGGATACACAGAGCTGTGCCTACATATGAATACACCTCTATTCAAATCTTCCTTTCCGACCATTCTTGCCAAGTACATTTGCCTACTATGTGTGTGGTTGAGTATACAGTGTGTGTGCATGCATGTGTGTGTGTGTGTGTATACTCTATCTATCTATCTATCTATCTATCTATCGGTATATATATGGAACCCTATATATATATATATATATATATATATATATATATATATATATACACACACATACATACATACATACATACATACACATACACACACACACACACACACACACACACCACATAAATATAAATGCACATAAAATCCCCCTGGTCTTTTTCCAATTGCTGGTGACCATAAGTAAGAGGATGTTATTGATTTCCTACCTGGGCTAAGTCTTCCTAACACACCTGGAAGGCCAATGTGGAACAGTATACTGAAAAGACAGGCATTTTGCCCAACTCGGTCATCTTCTTGTATATTTTTACAATCATAGGAAAGGGATAGCTAAATGATACAGCTTTCCCCCACTTTATTGCTAGTTGTGCTGAGATGAATTTTTAAAAAATCAAAATTCCTATAAAACCACATCTTAGGCTAGGAGAATTAAACGGTCAGAAATCAAGATTGTAGACAGTCCTATAACTTATAGTGTTCCTTGACTGTAATTATACACTGATATCAAATTTGTGTATCTAAAGCAGGGGTCCTCAAACTTGTCAATTTTAAGACTTGTGGACTTCACTCCCAGAATTCTCCAGACAACTATGCTGTCTGGAGAATTCTGGGAGTTGAAGTCCACAAGTCTTAAAGTTGCCAAGTTTGGAGACCTCTGATCTAAAGCAAAGGGGGTAGGGTGATTTTTCGGGGGGTGGGGGGGTGGGGGTGGGTGGGTGGAAGAAAGCTGAGAAAATGTCTGCATTGAGTTGATCACATTTGACCTTGTTTTGAGCCACGTATTCTGATTAGGGCTTTTTGCCAGATTTATATTATGTGAGCTACCTAATAACATAGACTGAAGTACAAGGAATTACATATAGGTCTTATATTCTAAATTCCAATCACTTGTACTTGCTAAAGGCACAAGGAAAAAGTGGGTGGAATGGGAGAATTCTGAACAATGACCAAAGAAAAAAAGGGTACCCAAATCTAACCCAATGTCTTGCAGACATTAATGCAATTGAGTTCATGTAAGTATTTTTATTCCTCACAAAACATTCTCCATGTGAACTTTACAAACTTACAAGGAACACAGATATAATTCTTATTATACTTAACATATGACTGCTTGTTCTAAATATTGTATACCATAAATCAAGGGTCTTCAAACTTGGCAAGTTTAAGACTTGTGGACTTCAATTCCTAGAATTCCTGTGCTAACATGAGTGGAGGAGAAGTTATGGGAGTTGAAGTCCACAAGTCTCAAAGCTGTCATGTTTGAAGACCCTTGCCATAAATAAATGTATATTTACTGTTTTAATTATCTGATATTCTGATCTGGTTAAAAGTCTATGCTCTAAACATATAAAAAGGAAAATTTTCATCACCCCACAAAGATTTATAGATTGCAGATTGATTCGATGGTTACTTGATCAATATCCTCCAGAGGACAGAATCCCATTGGAATATCTCAGGCAGGTATTTATGAATAAGCTGAATCCACCTGCAAGGGAGGGAATTTGGGGCACCTGAGATACAGCATGGGCTATACAGAGTGACCTCATTAAGGCACCTGGGCAGTGTTGGGTTTCATTTTTTTTTTACCACCGGTTCTGTGGGTGTGGCTTGGTGGGCGTGGCAGGGCTAAATCTGTAAAATCTCCAGTCAGAGGTGGCATTTGCTGGTTCTCTGAACTACTCAAAATTTCCTCTACCGGTTCTCCAGAACTAGTCAGAACCTGCTGAATACTACCTCTGCACCTGGGATATGGGTTATTGGCATGTAACAGCCTAGAAAGGTGCATGTAAAATGCCCCAAAGGTGCTTTTTCAAAAGGCAACTGGACTGTCTTTGTTTTTTTCTCTTGAAGACATTTTGTTTCTCACTCAAGAAACACCTTCAATTCTAACTGAATGGTGGGAAATGGAAGAATTTATATTTCTTTTCAAAAAGCACCTTTGGGACAACCATGACCTAGATGACTGAGAATCTCCATAGACATTCTGTATTAAAATAAGAACTTGAAGGAGACTTATTTTACCATTAACAGACAGTTTTAGTAACCTAGACAAAGGAAACAGAACAACATGGAAGGCAAATTTCGGCTGGTATACTTAGGAAATATGAAGGGAAGTTTGTGTAATGGAGATTATTAGGTTATTGCAGTAAGTGCATGGCTTTTAAATGACAAAGATCTAATTATCAGGCCTACAACCACAATGAATGAATCACAATCAAATAAAAATGGTGGGGGACCTTGCTTAACATTTTTTAAACAGTTGTAACTAAATGGAACATAGGTTCTGAATTATATGATAGCTAAATGCAGAAACACACATCTTGTTAAAGTTAAGAGTTCTCTTAGGTCAGTGTTTTACAATATAACATTAAATCATCAAACAGTTAAAAAGTAAAGTGCACACATTAAAATATACTTTGTGATAGTTAGATCGATAGACAGAATAATAGAACTAAAGAAAAATTCTAAAATATGTCATAGCAGAATAGGGTAATTAGAACAGGAAGGAAATAAGAGTTAGGATAACACTGCATTTGCTACCACATTTCCTCTGGGACAATTTGGGGAGGAAATAGCATCTGAATGGGGCTCCATAATTATGAGTGATGCTTTGAAGCTTACCTGAAATCACATGCAGTAGTTAGTTCTGCTCCTCCGCCTAGAGCTTTCCCTTGGACTAATGCAGCTGTGATTAGAGGTAACCTACATAACAGGAGAAATAAAAAGGAAACCATTCAAACATTACAAACCTGAAAACACATTATATAAGCAGAAATTGGCCTATTCACGTTGAATAAATTATCAAGCAATTCAAGCAGAAGACTAGCAACTGCACAAGATCTGTGGAGATATTTCAGTGAGGTTTGAAACCCATCCCCACTAGAAATCCAAAAATAGCAACAAAAGGCTGAATGGGGCTGTACAATCCAAACCAACAAAATTAGGTTATTAGAGAGATTTTTAATTAAGAAGAAATTCCTGAGAATGTGTTTGTTAAAGGAAAGAAAACCTTCTCCATGGTTCTGTGAGGGCAATTAGATATGTTGGTTTTATTCAGTGTGGGAAGACAAAGACATCAACTAATATACGATAAATGATGCCAAGAAATAATATCCTTATAATGTACACAATTCTTGATATTTGCATTCAATTTCAGTAATATTTCCTATGAGAAATAGTTTTTTATATATAAATCTATTCAAAGTCCATTTTATCAAATACATTCCAAATATACTTTGCAATAATGCATATTTTTTCTAAACATGCTCATAATGGTGGGACTCATCTCCAAGAGGAATGAATCTGCCTATTGAGGTGAGGTAGACCGGTTGCTTTCATGGTGTGGAGACAATAACTTAGTCCTTAACACCAATAGGACCAAGGAGCTTATAGTGGACTATAGAAGGAATAGATCAGACATCCAGCCCTTGCTTATCAATGGAGACTGAATGGAGCAAGTGGCCAGTTTTAAGGTTTTGGTTGTTATCATAAAAGAGGACCTGCCTGGGGTGCTCACATTACAGCATTGGTCAAAAGGGCCCAGCAGATATTATACTACCTGAGACTTCTCAGGAAACAACAACTGAATGAAAAACTGCTGGTGACCTTCTACCGCTGCACCATAGAGAGTATTTTAACTTTCTGCACCTGTGTATGGTTTGCCAGTTGCACAGTGGCAGATAGGACAGCACTCAGAGGGTTAATGTCATTGCCCAGAGGATTATTGGTTGCCCTCTCCCCTCTTTGGAAGAGCTTTATAGCTCCCGCTGCCTTAAGAAAGTTCAAAACATTCTTAAAGATCCATCTCATCCTGGGCACCCTTTTTTTGAGCTATTACCACCTGGCAGATGGTACAGGATAATAAAACAAGGACAAACAGGCTGAAAAACAGCTTCTATCCTAGGGCAGTAACTCTACTAAATTCTACTGCATAGTGCAATTTAATGCAATATCGGGTTTTCAATTCAATTGTATGGAATATGAAGGATGTGTGTTTGTGTTTTATTTTTATATAGTTATAATTTACACTGAAGATGGCATTTAATTTCATTGTACAAGGTGCAATGACAATAAAGAAAAGTAAACTAAACTAATTCTGATGTATGCACTAATTAATCCAAGGAAGGCTGGAAATGCAGTGAACCCTTGATCTGTCCAGTCAAAACACCTAAAGTAAGTCTACTGAGGATCCCAGCCTATGAGTTCTAAAGCAAAGTGTAAGCCAGTAGTAACCCAATAGTCACTCTTCATCACAGTCATCCCAAAACTCTAAAAATGTGCTGTTGTAATAAAGGCATTCTTTATTATTGTTTTGTTTTGATGTGGCTTAGGGGTTTCTAAGGATCTCTAGCTGTGCTTCTGCTAGTCTCTATTAATTTGAGCAGAATATAAACACTGCGGCACAAGTAAATAAAGACGAGAACTTCCATTGTTGAAGCCTTTTGGCAATGTTCCCCTAAATTATTTGTGAATACATTCAGAAATTAATACATTTTCCCCTGCCCTTTTTAAATCCCTGTAGTGCAAATGGACAAAAAAAAAGTGACATAGCAACAGATACAAAATTTAATTTTAGGGTTGCTTCTTTAAATGTGCTTATTAAAACCTAGTCACAGAAAGAAATTAAGAATACACACTTCTCAGAAAGAAGCTGGGTCAGTCCTAGACAGTGTTAAAGTAACTTTCAACTGCCAATTCAGATGGCTTTTATCCTTGGGAGATTGAGGGTTGTCTTGTCCTTTCTATATCATTGCACGTCTTGGCCCTGCTCTTCAGCACAGCACAAAATTAATTTACTAAGCATTTTCCTCCTAATTCTCTTCATTGTGTACTATCTCTATGTACCTCATTAGCCCATTATATACTGTCTCATAATTCTTGTCTGACCTTGAACAGGATTACTCAATACTTTTTTTTTATTAAAGTAGGTTTATCACTTCATGGAAGTGATAAACCTACAGCTTGTTAAAGAAATATTCTAAATGATGGGAATGGGATTAAATGTGAAAGACCCACAATGTTTTCCACATCTCCAAGTGTGACCAGGTCAAATATTTCCCCAACAGCCTTCATAAAACTGAACTCAAAAATATGATATAAAATATAATTCAAGAGAAATATGGATCCCTGATTGCTACTATAGATAGTAAAACAGGCCGAAGAGTAGAATCTACTTATGTGGGAGCCTGAAGATAACAGATGGTGGGTAAAACTCATATTTTATTCTCTGCATGTGTTCCATTCATGGATTTACGTAGGTTGCAAAAAGAAAACTTGCCAAATTTTCAAGATGACTCACTTCTATGACAGGGAAGATGGATTTGTAAAAGTAGGGTATGTATATATATTACAAAACCTCAACACTTCTTAGTTTCTGGGATTTTATGTCTACAAAGGGCATATTCCCAAGTCGTAATTAAAAAATAAGACCACAAATCAACAAATTCTAAAAAATCAGGCTTTTTTTTAATAAGAATCAATTATTCTGTTTCCAAATATTTCTGGATCTACCAAAGTGCACCATAACATTATTAGATGATGCTGAAATTTCATATAAACCTTCATATGTTTTGAGCGGAAAAATACACAAAACAAAACACTGAACATACTACCTCATGAGTCTGGTTAAGTTGTTTTGCATGAACATACACATGTTCATTCCATCCTAGAAAACAGAAAGAAAATATCAAGATATATTCTAATAATAAAAAATGGAAGAAACTGCTTGATATATTTAGTGTTAAAAGTATCTTGATTCCCAGTGAACATACAAAGAATACATTTCTCAAACAATCTGCTCAATTTATTCATCTTTACAGAATAACTTTTCAAGGAGACCGGGTTCTTGTTGAAAGAAAGGTACAGAGGGAGAGTCCCCTTTTCTTCTCCTATTGCAAACGATTTCAGAAAAATTAAGTCCATCAGTTACCAGAGATTTTATACTTTTGCACAATTTTAGAAGTACGCACAGAAAGTAGCACAATATCATGAAGGTTTGCTAAGCATTTTATTTCATAATAATAATAATCCCCCACCCCCCCACCCCCCCCAAAAAGGCTTTTGGCCTTTGCCCTGATTTGGTTGTTATTTTGTCATTCTGCAATATTATAATCAGGATTTATTGACTTTTGCAAACTGATGTTTGATAACTTGCAGTGAAATCAATACACTAATCCATACATTATTTTGTCTAAAAATAAAAAATAGTTTTCAAGAATTTCAGAACATTTTTACATATATTGTAGTGCTGTTCTCTGTCGTAAAGCAAAGAAACTCTGCACAAGTAAAGACTTGATCCGAGCGAAGTCCTACCTAGTCTGGAATTCTGTTTTCTCTATGTAAGGTGTTTCTACTCTTCACTGTAATATTTGATAGCTTTATCTCCACTCGCATGGTCTGAACTCTAAGCAGCTTAGAATAGAAATCTTTATCCTAAATTAGGAACAGTCATATTATACACACCCCATCCAGCAGTCATCCTTTACCTGGTGCCCTGGAGTTCTGTGCAATCAGAATGGGGACTGTAGCCCAATTGAATAGGAAGGCACCAAGTTGAGAAAGGCTGCAATATAGCTCTTTTGCGATACTCACATTCCAAGCTGTGGAAAGAGTAATGAACCTGTAAGCCCTCTCATTAACTCCTGAAAACAACACTCCTGTCAGTGATTTCCTGTAACATTATTGCTTTATTGGCTAGCAAAGTAGTCAAACAGGCCACTAGGTCAGCTGCCACTGTATTACAGGTGAAACTTGAAAAATTAGAATATTGTGCAAAAGTTCATTTATTTCAGTAATGCAACTTAAAAGGTGAACCTAATATATGAGATAGACTCATTACCTGCAAAGCAAGATAGGTCAAGTCATGATTTGTCATAATTGAGATGATTATGGCTTACATCTCATGAAAACCCCAAATCCACAATCTCAGAAAATTAGAATATTGTGGAAAGGTTCAATATTCTAGGCTCAAAGTGTCCCACTCTAATCAGCTAATTAAGCCATAACACCTGCAAAGGGTTCCTGGGCCTTTAAATGGTCTCTCAGTCTGGTTCAGTAGGAATCACAATCATGGAAAAGACTGCTGACCTGACAGTTGTGCAGAAAACCATCACTGACGCCCTCCATAAGGAGGGAAAGCCTCAAAAGGTAATTGCAAAAGAAGTTGGATGTTCCCAAAGTGCTGTATCAAAGCACATTAATAGAAAGTTATGTGGAAGGGAAAAGTGTGGAAGAAAAAGGTGCACAAGCAGCAGGGATGACCGCAGCCTGGAGAGGATTGTCAGGAAAAGGCCATTCAAAAGTGTTGGGGACTTTTACAAGGAGTGGACTGAGGCTGGAGTCAGTGCATCAAGAACCACCACACACAGACGGATCCTGGACATGGGCTTCAAATGTTGTATTCCTCTTGTCAAGCCACTCCTGAACAACAAACAACGTCAGAAGCATCTTACCTGGGCTAAAGAAAAACAGAACTGGTCTGTTGCTCAGTGGTCCAAAGTCCTCTTTTCTGATGAGAGCAACTTTTGCATCTAATTTGGAAACCAAGGACCCAGAATCTGCAAGATGCTTGAAGTCCAGTGTGAAGGTTCCACAGTCTGTGTTGATTTGGGGAGCCATGTCATCTTCTGGTGTTGGTCCACTGTGCTTCATTAAGTCCAGGGTCAATGCAGCTGTTTGCCAGAAGATTTTGGAGCACTTCATGCTTCCTTCCACAGATGAGCTTTATGGGGATGCTGACTTCATTTTCCAGCAGGACTTGGCACCTGCCCATACTGCCCAAAGCACCAAAACCTGGTTCAATGACCGTGGGATGACCGTGTGCTTGATTGGCCAGCAAACTCGCCTGACCTGAACCCCATAGAGAATCTATGGGGCATTGCCAAGAGAAAGATGAGAGACATGAGACCAAACAATGCAGAAGAGCTAAATGCTGCTATTGAAGCATCCTGGTCTTCCATAACATCTCAGCAGTGCCACAGGCTGATAGCTTCTATGCCATGCTGCATTGAGGAAGTAATTGCTGCAAAAGTACTGAGTACATATGCATGCTTATACTTTTCAGAGGTCCGATACTGTGCTATGTATAATCCTTGTGTTATTGATTGTATGTAATATTCTAATTTTCTGAGATTGTGGATTTGGGGTTTTCATGAGCTGTAAGCCATATTAATCTCAATTATGACAAATCACGGCTTGAACTATCTTGTTTTGCATGTAATGAGTCTATCTCATATATTAGTTTCACCTTTTAAGTTGCATTACTGAAATAGACTTTTGCACGATATTCTAATTTTTTGAGTTTCACCTGTATATGGGTAAGTGCTTTGTCAGTGAGTTCTATGCAATATGCTTTTGTTCTCCTATGTTTCCATGTAAATTATGGTCTGATGTTAAATCCAAACTGAATATGTTATATCCTGTCCTTGCCACTGAAATGGGCAAACTATTCTGACCTTAATGGCCAAGCAGTCTACAAGTAGTTCTTGTTTAGCAACCACAGTTGGGATTGGGAGCTCTGTCGTAAAGCAAAGCAGTTGATAAATAGGAAATCACATGACTGCAACTATGCTTTTCTTGTCCTCACTCCTTCATCCTTTGGAGATCTCACATGAATGCTGGGATAATTAGCAAAAGGGTTTCTACAGGTAGCTCCTCAACTAATGACCATTTATTCTTCAACCATTTGAAAAATGTTGAAAAAGTTACGACTACTGAAGCACCCACGGTCACATAATCAAAATTACGGTGCCTGGCATTCACTTAGGAATGCAGAATCACTTCAACTCCTGCCACCACCTATCTCCCCTCTCTGCCATATCTAAGCACTTTTGGACCCTGTGTTTCATGACCCCTGCCATCCTAGGTGACCTTCGCCATCTTCTTATTCCAGCTACTAAGTATGTCTGGTCTGGTCCTTTCTGAAGCAGATGCAGGCCATGCCAGGCCTTCTAGAGGCTACTTGTAGCCTTGTCCAAATTGTGTGCAACCTTCTCACAAGGCTTTGTTATCGTATATGTAGTAACAAAGTTCCAAAGTTCCTTTCACACTCTTTATCCATCAAACCTTAAAGGAATTTATTAATAAATTGATCGATCGATCGATTGAATGAACGAATCCTTCTTGCAAGGCTCTGAAGCCTTTAAAAGAAGCTGCACATGGTTTGGACAAGACCATGAGCAATTTGAACAATGGCTATATGAACTCGGGAAGGAGGCTGCTTTGCAAAGGGCCAGGCCAGGCAGGCCTTAGCCACAGTGATGAAGGTTAGCTGGTATTGCAGAGAGCAAGGATGAAGGTTAGCTG